ACTCATTAAACCACTAATGTCATGATCTACCACTAATTACCCACTAAAAATTAAACTTTGTAAGCACCAACTATGTTCTACAATTTTATTATCCACTACCTTATTATTTATTTTATGGAAGAGATTTTACACCTAGAAATAGTGGTATTTCTTCCTTGTGTTGTAGATAGAAAAATATGGTAGTGTGTATGGAAAAAGTGAACTTGGTGTGGTGAAAAAGAGAGTTAAGAGAAGGAGAAAATCTAAGTCTCCAACTAATCCTCTACAAAAGAGAATATTATTTTTGTTGAAGGAAGATGTTCATTTTGGTGAAGCTTTGGACTTAACAACTTATTCAGAGTTTGTTCGAGTTATACGACGTTGTCGGGCTGTTGTATCCTGGAGGGGACAAGTCAAGAGTATTACTGCTGGACCGGTGAAGATGCTACCGCAGTGGGCTTGAATCTCCTTAAAGAGAGCGAGATATTCGCGCCTCAGCCGAAGATATTTTATTTTTCAACTGTAATTACTTGTAATTTCACCGACATAAACTTTAATAGGGCTGTTCTTTTTGATAAAACAATAATAGTACATAAGTTAGTTTAATTAATTAATTAATTCTTGAGTGGTGATTGGACATTTCCCGGAGTTGGTAAAAATTTTGTTGACATACTCTCCTGTTTTTAGGGTCAACAATCTTTGGAGTCCAAATATAATAAGTTGAATACAATTCAAATTCCATGCATACTTTTTGGGACAAATAGAATTTATTCTATTTTAGCTGCTAATAATATCCCTAGAAAATCCATTGAAACCTTTACTGAAGCATATAATTGGTGCTATAAATATTTGATTATATTTTAATGGAATAATGTCATTTACGTGCCGTTAATTTTTATTTTTAAAGGTTGGAATTTACTTCTAATATTTCTCATTTTTAATGAGAGTGTTAGAAGATTTTGTAGAAGTAGAAAAAAACTAACTCACATAAAGAAAACTACTACAAGAAAGTGAGAAAGAATCTTAGATAATGTGTAGCTAGAAGGGATTAAATACTTTAATCATGGTTAGGGCTTTATTTTAGTCAATTAAATCTCGTCAATTAATTTTTAACCATGACAAGTGTCTCCAATCCAAATAGGAACTTGGAGAATGGAGAGACTAAGAAATGGAGGGGAGTTGGATACTCTTAACCAAAGGCGGCTAGATATTTGACGTTTATAATAAAGAGTAGTTACGTAAACATTATTTTCCATAGGTATGATGTCCCACAACACAAAATCCTATTATATTGGATTCACTGAGACGCCAATGAAGAAATCAAAAGGCTGCTGATGATTGGTATATAGTCAAGTAAGGCAACTGAAATGAAGAAATAAAAAGGCATTATAAATAATTATGCCTTCTCTTCCATTTGTGTCATCTCACTCATCACTCGACTTTCTTTCTTCCCCAGAGAATTAATAACCAAAAATTCTATAGCAATGGCCGCAGCAGCAGTTGGCAACTATGAAGAAGATATTGTTCGCCCCGTCGCCGACTTCTCCCCTAGTCTATGGGGTGATCAGTTCCTTTCATTCTCCATTGATAATCAGGTAATATTTTAATTTCCTTATTATATACTTTCTTCGTGCAAGCATGGTTAATTTCTTCTTTATATTTATTGAACAACATTAATTTTGCTAACTTCAGTTTTATTTTTTTAAATGCATTATAAATAGGTTGCGGAAAAGTATGCTAAAGAGATTGAAGCACCGAAGGAACAAACGAGGAATATGCTGTTAGCAACTGGAATGAAATTGGCTGATACATTGAATTTGATTGACATTATTGAACGTCTTGGCATCTCCTACCACTTTGAAAAAGAAATTGATGAGATTTTAGATCAGATTTACAACCAAAACTCAAACTGCGATGATTTGAGCACTTCTGCACTTCAATTTCGATTGCTCAGGCAACATGGTTTCAACATCTCTCCTGGTAAGTTCATCATAAAGCATGCCTTAATGTTGATAAAATTATTTTCAATTTATAGGAAGAAGGAAATTTAATCTTGAGCTTTCTTTCTTGAAATACCAGAAATTTTCAGCAAATTCCAAGATGAAAATGGCAAATTCAAAGAGTCTCTTGCTAGTGATGTCTTAGGATTATTGAACTTGTATGAAGCTTCACATGCAAGGACTCATGCTGACGATATCTTACAAGACGCACTTGCTTTCTCCACTATCCATCTTGAATTTGTAGCTCCACATTTGAAATCTCCACTTAGAGAGCAAGTGACACATGCCCTTGAGCAATGTTTGCACAAGGGCGTTCCTAGAGTCGAGACCCGATTCTTCATCTCATCAATCTATGAGAAGGAACAATCAAAAAATAATATGTTACTTCGATTTGCCAAATTGGATTTTAACTTGCTCCAGATGTTACACAAACAAGAACTGGCTGAAGTATCAAGGTGCGATATATAAAAACGATGAACCCTTTTTGATTGATCATATCTCAAGTACTGATGTTAATTTGTTATGTTGTAGGTGGTGGAAAGATTTGGATTTCGTAACAACACTTCCATATGCTAGAGATCGAGTAGTTGAATGTTACTTTTGGGCATTAGGAGTTTATTTTGAGCCTCAATACTCCCAAGCTCGCGTCATGCTCGTTAAGACCATATCAATGATTTCGATTGTCGATGATACCTTTGATGCTTACGGTACAGTTAAAGAACTTGAGGCATACACAGATGCCATACAAAGGTATAAACTTCATCAATTCACTTATTCAGATATTCCTTGATAGTTAATGTCGTCTTGAAAAGATCAAAGACGAACTTCTACTCATTATAGTTGTGCTCTTTCAAAATGCATGAGTTCGCCTTAATTTTGTCATCCTGAATTTTGTCATCCTGCAGGTGGGATATAAACGAAATTGATCGGCTTCCTGATTACATGAAAATCAGTTATAAAGCTATTCTAGATCTTTATAAGGATTATGAAAAGGAATTATCTAGTGTTGGAAGATCTCATATTGTCTGCCATGCAATAGAAAGAGTATGTTTGAGCAACTTAACTATTGAAATATTTTTTTTTCTTAATCTGTTTTTCGCTTTGTTTTACCTTCTGTATGTCTTTTAGTGATCAAAAATTTGATACAATTCAATCAAAATTATCTAACACTTAACATATATATTTTGTATTCACAGATGAAAGAAGTAGTAAGAAATTATAATGTCGAGTCAACATGGTTTATTGAAGGATATAAGCCACCTGTTTCTGAATACCTAAGCAATGCACTAGCAACTACTACATATTACTACCTCGCAACAACATCGTATTTAGGCATGAAGTCTGTTACAGAGCAGGATTTTGAATGGTTGTCAAAGAATCCTAAAATTCTTGAAGCTAGTGTGATAATATGCCGAGTTATTGATGACACAGCCACATACGAGGTATGAGTTGTATCTCACAAACTTATATAATTATATGTAATTTGGACAAATAAAGTATTGCGACAATATAAAAGCTAACCCCTAATCTATCTACCTTTCCAGGTTGAGAAAACTAGGGGACAAATTGCAACAGGAATTGAGTGCTGCATGAGAGATTATGGCATATCAACAGAAGAGGCAATGACTAAATTTCAAGAAATGGCTGAGGCAGCATGGAAGGATCTTAATGAAGGACTTCTTAGGCCCACTCCTGTCTCTACAGAGTTTTTATCTCGTATTCTCAATCTTGCACGTATTGTTGAGGTTACATATATACACAATCTAGATGGATACACTCATCCGGAAAAAGTCTTAAAACCTCACATTAATGCCCTAGTTGTGGACTCCATCGAAATTTGAGCTGCCAATTCTTGCTCATCTTCCCAAACTTCGTTCTTCTTTGATTTGTTGAGAAAGTAGATTTATATACTATGTTTTATTTGTATCATGTTGTATAAAGTTGTAAGGGAGCAGCTCTTGCTGTTGTGCAGTGCACTTCCTAACTAGGATCTCCTTCAAAATCCTTGTAAGAAATAATGCTACAAGTTTATGAATCCATTTTCTGGTTAACATATGTGACTAATGTGGAACTGGAAAAAAACCCTTTCGAATTTACTGTTGTCATTATTTCTTATTATGTTCTATACTATTTCATAAGTAACAATTAGCACAGTAATTGCTTTTTAACAATTTAACTTTATTAACCTTTTCTGAAATAGTTTTTTTTCTTTCCAAAAACAGAATAAGAAAAATCAATAAAGATGAAATCAACTCCTAAAGAATTGAGTTGCAGCGCCAACTGTATATGCATATTAGGTTTCCCCTTGGGGGGGGGGGGAGAAGAAACTACTTCACTTAATTTGTTTCCATTTTATTTTAAGCAAAACAGGAATTTGTCACACATTCTACTTATATTTGCTTAAAGTTACCTAGTTGGCTAGTTTCTATAATATGTTTCTTATAACTAAGGAATTGTCTTTGAATTAGGTAGTTTCCCACTTAAATACCCGTCTTTTATATTCAGAAAGGTACGAGTTCACCTCCCTACCCACGTCAATCCTCACCTCCCTACCCACGTCAATCCTTAATTTCTATGACCTTAAGCACAAGAATAAATTAGTAATAACTTTTACTGCAGAAATAATCATATCTAATTTTACCATAACACTAGATAATTATCTCATTGTTTTTCTTGCAACAAAAAGAAGAATTAAAAAAAAAACATAACAAAAGGGAAAGTGCATGGTCAGAGGCGGATGTACAGTATTAACTATGTGTTCAACTGAATTACATAAATTTAACTCAGACCATATGTATGTATTTTTTATAAGAAAAAAATCGACTAAATACGTAAAAAAAAATATTAAATTTCAAACTCAATAACTTAAATAATTACTTAATTTAATTTTCTCGAACCCATAAAATTTAAATTATAAAAGTGTGATAAAGTCAAAATGTAGATGACAAGATGCAACATAAAGGTGAAGGGATGAGGATAGTAGTTGACAAGTGTCATATCCTATGGCCTTATACCTACATTTCAAAATCAACACTTCATCCAAAACCCTGTCCCTCTCTTCTTCCTCCAAAACCACAAACCTTCTCAATATTCCCTGAAAACAATCTCATACTTCACTTGTCTTTGTATTAAACACATACTTCTTCTTTTCTCTCTGCTACAATGGCAGTAGCAGAGTTTATTCCTTCTTCTTCATTTACAAATAAGACCAATGTTTACTCATCACAGTTTTCTTATGTATCAACTCAGATTTCCCAGAAGCGCCGCTTCAGTCTTAGACCTCTACCAAGAAGCCATTATTCTCAAATTTGTTGCTCCGTAACGTCGAAGTATGTTGTTACTTTCTTGATTTTCAATTCTTTTTTTTTCACAACTAAAAAACAGAAATTAACACGGACAAATTATGTAGCTAAACAGTAAAATCCGTTGCTAACGGATTAGTGACATATTGTCAAGAAAATCTATTAGCTATGCGCAGGGGCGGATCCAGAGTTTGACCTACGGGTTCACGGGACCCAGTAACTTAGTTCACTAAATATCTTTAAATATTTGATTGTGAATTCGGTTATTTTTGTAAGTTTACTTGAAGTCCATGTAGGAACCCATAAGTTCCAAATCTTGTATGGCCTCTTGCTACGTGCTATTTAGGGGACGTTCGTAGCTAATTCTAGTTTTTTAGGTAGTGTTTTTTTTATGATTTAATTTTTGTCATCTTAATTGGTGTTGCAGAGAAGTTCAAGCGCCAACAGTAGTACAAACTGATGATCCAAAGAAGAAACCAGAGTGCTATGGAGTTTTTTGTCTCACTTATGATCTCAAGGCTGTAAGTTCTAACATGCATACTCTGAAACTACTCTTAGATTTCTTCATTTTGATTTAAATCCTATTATGAGTTTAAGTATTACGCTTTATTCGTGTAAAAAATGTAATCAGGTAACTTATTTGGTAATTACATGTATATTTCTGTGATAAACGTTGACTATAACCTGGTAAAAATGATAACTAATCTGCTATCAGAAGTTAAACTGCACTACTATAGTAAAAGATACATTGTCCAAATATATAAGATAACAAATGAACTTAACAAAGTTTGATTATAATATCATATCATGCGGAAAAAATATAAGCATCCAACTGAAAACTATATTGTTCGGACTCTCTAAAATTGTTGTTGCATCCGTGTCGAATCCTCGAACATGCACTACTTTTAGAGGCCATTTTTGGAGCATTTAATTGAAAATGTATATTGCTTGGACTTTTCAAAAGGTAAATCGTGACCCATAATCTCTGTTTCTGTTTTTCTTTTTAATTTTATTAACAGGAAGAAGAGACGAAGTCGTGGAAGAAAATGATAACTGTTTCTGTGTCTGGTGCTGCTGGCATGATTGCTAATCATCTTCTTTTCAAAGTAAGACGCAATTAAACTTTTTTAAATTTGGAAAAAACCAAATCTATGCACAATTTCCTCTTAAATTAGTAACATGCCTGGAAACAAAGTAGATAATGTGTTTGATTTTCAGCTTGCATCTGGTGAGGTTTTTGGACCAGATCAGCCTATTGCATTAAGGTTATTGGGGTCCGAGCGCTCCATCCAAGCGCTCGAAGGTATGTTTTCAGTTATTCTCCATTTTCTATTCACTTACATTCATAATTTTTCCTCCCTATGTTCTAATTTATGTGGTGGTGTTTGATTCGGCACAGTATTTAAGAAGAAAGAAAGACTTTTGAAACTTGTGATCGTAAACCTGCCATGATATTTTATGGCTACAAAAGCAAATCGTTTTTATATATAGAAAGGTGTCGTTCTTTTTTAAATGGACTAATAAGAAAATAGTGTCACGTAATTAGATCGCAGCGAGTATCACATTTCATCCTTGCTATGCAATTATAGGACATGTGTGGACTTCCAAATCTCTATGCTTTACTAATACTCAGCTTTTAATATGCAGGAGTTGCTATGGAACTAGAAGACTCTTTGTATCCTTTGCTTAGGGAAGTGAATATCGGTACAGATCCCTACGAGGTTTTCCAGGATGCAGAATGGGCACTTCTTATCGGAGCAAAGCCTCGAGGTCCTGGTATGGAACGAGCTGGTTTATTGGATATAAATGGTCAAATCTTCGCGGAGCAGGTTTCTTCTTCTTCTTCTTCTCCTGAGATTATAAAGATTTCCGAGAAAATGAAATAATAATCCTTTTGATCAATATTTTGCATTGTTTGTCAAATGGTTACAGGGGAAAGCTCTCAATGATGTTGCATCGCGTAATGTCAAGGTGATAGTAGTTGGGAACCCTTGTAATACCAAGTAATGAACTATTTCACTCGATTCCAATTCTGCTTTTTTTCTGTGAATCTGTTACTCCATTGCTCATATCTTTCTGTTTTCTCTTTCTAGTGCATTGATTTGTTTGAAAAATGCTCCAAACATACCTGCAAAGAACTTCCATGCTTTGACTAGGTTAGATGAAAATAGAGCCAAATGCCAGGTATCCCTTCACTCGCTACCTTTAAGTATTTGCATTACTTCTTTCCAAGAGTAATTTTACATATCGTCACTGAAGTTTATTCACAGTAACAGCAGAGTCACAATGCTATTTTCTATCATCTTAAAGTATAAACTTTATCTGCTTTAACAGTAATGTTACAAAATTTACCAACTATAACGATAAGACGTATTCATCAAGATGACTTTATTGTTATAGTAAGTAAGATTTCGTGCCTTTAATTATTATAATGGGAAAAATTCAGTTACTTTAATATGACAAAAAAAGGTCGTATGACTGTTAGAGTGAGTAAAGTTCCAGTTATGGTACGTGAAATTAAACTCCTCTTTCCATAGTGAACAAGAAGAGGAGCCTTGGCGTAATTGGTAAAGTTGTTGCCATGTGACCAGAAGGTCACGGATCTGAGCCGTGGAAACAGCCTCTTGCAGAAATGCAGAGTAAGGCTGCGTACAATAGACCCTTGTGGTCCGATGGAGCACCGGGCTGCCCTTTTTCCATAGTGAACAAGGGGAGGCTTGGCGTAACTGGGAAAGTTGTTGTCATGTGACCAGGAGGTCACTAGTTCGAGTCGTGGAAACAGCCTCCTGCAGAAATGCAGGGTAAAGTTGTGTATAATAGACCCTCGTGGTCCGGCCCTTCCCCCAACCCCGTGCATAGCGGAAACTTAGTGCTTTTTTCCATTAGTGAACAAAGAGTAAGACAATCTCATGGTTTGTGCAGCTGGCTCTAAAAGCTGGAGTCTTCTATGATAAAGTATCTAATGTTACCATATGGGGCAACCACTCAACTACTCAGGTCATTGTGTTTCATTCTCATTTGTAATTTCTTCAATATCATTAGCTTTACTGACTTCATTTTGATATCAGGTTCCAGATTTTTTAAATGCTAAAATTAATGGATTGCCAGTTAAAGAGGTGATTAAAGACACTAAATGGTTAGAGGAAGAGTTCACTGAAAAAGTCCAAAAGGTAAAGTATCAATTTTAATATTGTTGTTTACACCTTTTATCTGAATCATTCAAAGTCTCTAATGCTAAAGTTAATTGGCAGAGAGGTGGTGTACTTATTCAGAAATGGGGAAGATCTTCAGCTGCATCAACTGCTGTGTCAATTGTTGATGCAATAAGGTCGCTCGTCACTCCTACGCCTGAAGGCGATTGGTTTTCTACCGGAGTAAGTTCATTAACTTTCGTCGTACTATAAGTTACTGTTGGGTGTGTGAAAAAAGTCAATATTGAAAGTTGATAAGAAAAGAAGATACACAATGTGTAGGGGTACACTTAATAGTGTGAGACTAGTCGATGAAAACCGTGAGGGCTTAGTCCAAAGCAGATTATATCATACCATGTTAAGAGTGTCTTTGATCTGGCTTAGCCCAACAAATTGGTGTCCGAGTTGGCATAGAACAGCTAGCTTACTGCCTTTACCTATCTATGGACCAGTTTACGCACACTTAGAAGAAAATTGTGGGGTTTGGTGACTATAAATACTCAGATGATGTAGGTGACACACAGTGAATCTCCAGTATAGCGCAGTATAACATTACCTGAGCAAAAGACCAAGTTTTCGTCCAATTACACGTTATATGTTTTCATTTGGGAGTTTCTTGTTATAGTATTGCTACAAATGTGTAGGTGTATACCAGTGGAAATCCTTATGGGATAGCAGAGGATATAGTTTTCAGCATGCCTTGTAGATCAAAAGTAAGATTTTTTCTCCTTTGTAATTTCCTATTTTATTTAGACAAAATGTTAAGCACACACTATCTTGAGCTCTGAGATACTTAACTGATTGCAGGGAGATGGTGACTATGAACTAGTAAAGGAAGTAATTTTTGACGACTACCTTTGGAGCCGAATAAAGAAGGTATTCAACCTTTTCTCTTATTTGGGAATTTTGAAGTACACACTCTTTTAACATAAAGGAGATCTAGTATTGAGACATAATGTGATTGTGTAATTAGACATTTAGATGAGGTGATTACACAATTAAACATGATAGGAGGCGTCTCGAGATATTTTTTTTAATTATATTATTAAAATTGTACAGTCAGAAGATGAGTTGCTCGCGGAGAAAAGATGTGTAGCTCACCTTACAGGAGAGGTGAGTATTATTAAACAGCTGCAAGATACCGTTGAAATTTTTTGTTTTTCTTCTTTATCGCGGAATGAACTAATTTCTTCTTTTTCTTTTTTTTTCTTTTTTCGTCCCCTTTTAGGGTATCGCTGTCTGTGATCTGCCAGGGGATACAATGCTTCCAGGAGAAATGTGAAACCACTAAGCAAAACATTTTGAATATTATCAGATTATATGAAGAGCTTTGCATAGACAAGATAATACTAGTGTTTACCAACGTCAATGTTGTTTGTAATTTATTATACTATTGATGTGCAGTCCAATAGATTTGGATGACTAGGGAATAATGAATGAGACAATTTGAAAAAGTGCCCTCCTAAAGGCAAGAAATTTGGCTACTGCTGAGAGTAGTTATCTTTTTATGCACAAGTTCCTCTATGTATCTTATTTTATTTGCTTGAAGTTAAAAACTTTGCCTCAGAAAGTTCTTGTTTATTGATAAATTGCACGATTGCTTTTACTTTCAAAGCACCGAAGTAACTTTAGCATAGTTCACAAGTCTACTAATCCATGTGATATAGTATTTATCTTCACAGGAGCTTTGTGATAGTAGTCGTGACCAATAGCCATCAGCTCTCGGCTTGTTGGTAAGGTGAGAGCTACAAGCCCGATTGCAGGTGAAGCCCTCACAATGAAGGGATGGGTCTATTCTAGGAGCATTTACCTCCTCTCGACCCCAAGGCCGTAACAAATATGATGCAAGAGATCCGGAACCACATTTCTTGTCTCGAAAATGGATGAACTTCTTGCTTGCCTACATCTCCTTTGAACTTAGCTACTTTACTATAGTTTTCTAAAGTTTCAATATTCAATCTAGTCCAACTTCATAGAATGTTTATCGCTATTACTCAACTTAGTTCATCAACGTCTGCCTCCATATTCATACACGCCAAATCAGAGATTTCGCGATTGAAAGAAAAATGTCCATATATGATATAAACAAACCATCAGCAAGTAAAATCCCGACGCGGATTTAACACAGAAGACACAATCATGCTGGCACAGATTTCCTACATGTTTCAAGAAAGGCTTCCAAATAAAAATCTCAAAAACAGTCATAAATAACATGTTCAAGTTTCAGAGCTGGAAGCTTAAAATGATCCAAAACCTCGTTTACTTGAAGCAATCAGTACACTGCAACAATGTACTTTATATAACCTACCACCCAAAAAAGGAAGGCAAAAAGGAAGAGTAAAGGAAACTACTCCTATAGGACATGGTATAAAGTCTTAGTTGAGATGTAATAATGTACTGAGAATTTGTGTAAATAACAGCAACCTCGAGCTTCAGCATAGTTGAGCTTTCTAAAGTGCTCATACCTTAACTGGCACAAATAATTGTCCCAATTTTGAAGCTCATACAAAGCATTAGGAACGAAAAGAAGAGATAATAGAACCAGCCCCTTGATATGATCGAAGTTGTCTTTCCAGGATGAATGCTATAAAATGACTCCATGGCAGAATCATCACTACGTCGTGAAATGCCAAAAGATAGGATAATGTTGTAATCCGCATACTTGCCCAATGGCCATCCCGTCCCATTGCTACCCACAGTCGTGTCCCTTATTTGAAAACCAGCAGTGACCTGCACTGAACTAGATGACTGAGATAATGAATTCAGACGGAGAGTTGCGTCTTTTGTAGGGAACTCTGAAGCAAATGCTGGAGGAGCATGAATATTGCCCAACATCTGGCTTGCCTTCTTCATAAATGGATACTGACGATCTGCAATAATGAAAAATAAATAGCAATGATATCAGGGAAACAGAAGCTCCAATAGCCAGAAAACTAAAAACTAGTACTGGTGCAAAATAAATCTCCAAAGACCAAATTAGCATCCAAAAGTATCAATCAGGAATCAAAATAGAAAGTCCCATCATTACCTGATCCAAATTTAGTCGGTTCTAGTTTAGAGGATGACGCAAAATCATTCTTATTTTCACCAAGCCCTTCATTGGGTGCAATAAATTGCTGAGTTACCTCGCCGATGTTCTGCCACAATAGAAAAATAACATGTAAGCCTCAGCATGAACACTACTACAACAGTTAAGAGAGAGCGAAGCTGGCAAAAATAAAGTTTACCTTCTCAGCCAGCAGTGCTTGATCAGAAATTTGATCATCATTTCCAAACAAAACTGAAGGATCAAAGCCCATATGCTGGAAATCATCATTTGCATCAAAGAAAGTAAGGTATTCCTCAAGCATGTCAAAACCAGAGCTATCAACCTCAATGGGATTTGAAAGATCATTAGCTTCGAGGAAAGCTTCTTCCTTAAATTGAAGGTCATCAGTTGCATTTACAGTTGGTTCATGAAGCAAGTAATCCACATCTTCAGAGTTCACATTCTTGCTTGATTCACCAATATATTCATGCATGACTGGATCGACATCAACATTCTGTTGAACAGCTAGATCAATTGGTTTTAGCTCGTCAGGTTGCTGCAGCCAATTTTGTGCATCAGAGGAGTTATTTGTCTCCTCACTACTTCCATTTTCACCATAACAATAGTCCAAAGGAAGAGGAGCACTATTCAAAGTTGTTTCAGTTCCAAGAATCTAGGTGCAAGAGAAGCATTAAGAGAAATCAGAACATATAGATAACCTTAATCCAATATTAACAGCACACAGTTTTGGCAATATTATGAACAGGAAGGGAACACGATTCGAAGTGGTTTCGATTCCAAGAATCTGGACGCAAGAGAAGCATTACCAGACATCAGAACAGCACACCATGTTGGCAAATATTATTAACGGAGCAGAACTCTCTGTTGTATTCACAGATGGTGATAAACTATTTTGAAGTTTCATGATATCAGAGACTTCTAGACCTCGTACAACTTCCTATAGAACTGGAAATACATCTACGTTAAAGATTCAAGAGGTAAGAAAATTACCATGTTCACGTGATCAGAAATCTCAAAGATATTGCTTCAATTAAAAAACACATTCATTCATTTATTTATTTTTTATATGGGTGGTGTCTTTGTCAGCTTGCACGCACCTCAACTAAATTGAATAAACCATTATAGCAGAGGCGGGTTTTTTCCAAAAACACATTCATACTGCTCACAAGAAGGGTATACCCCTAAGTTGCTCCGATATGGCAGTTTAGGTGCCGCACCGGATCTGGTCAAACAATTTCGGGTACTTTGACCACGATGGATGAAAAAATTCGAGATGAGATACAACTTGATTCCCGAAATCAAAACCCAAACTAGGGTAAATTTGAAGAAAATAGCATACCTTATCTAGGAAATAAATCATTTACTTTCTACAACTGGAGAACAAAAAAGAAATCCACACTTTACAAGCTATACGTAAGTATTCCACAAAAAACCCTCAGGGGTTGGCCTGGTAGCAATTGACTTTCAAGGTCTCAAGTTCAAAACCCACTGGGTGCAAACAATTTCTGAGGGCCATCAGACTTGGTAAAACCTGAATTAACCGTGGTGCACTTGCGGGCAACTCCTTGCCGAGAGCCTATGCACACTCGGGATTAGTCGGGGCTCGTAGAGACTCGAACACCCGGTGCAAATAAAAAAAAAAGTATTCCACAAAATTTCTCATAATTTAGAGATATTTTATATTTTTATTTTTTTTTAAATATGTTTAGCCGGATTCCCTTCCCCGTATTTGTACTAGAATCCGTATCCCCGAATCTTAGAATTTACATTTCGAAGGATCCGACCTCTAGATCCGCACCCGTATCTGAGCAACTTAGGTATACCCTAATATACAACTTCATAAGGACCTTTGTTTTACAGGCACTGAAATAGGTTTAACTGTTATAATACATGACTTAACTTCTCTTAGAAGCGCTGAAATAGATTTGAATGTTAAAATTAGATACCAACCCAAGAAAAAGAGACGAGACACCCCACTCAGTTAAAACTTATCTCCATCAATTCTCTACCTTAAAAAGCCAGTTTTTACTTCGGACAGAAGCAGGAATTACTTCTCGGAAGAGGAAAAGGAAAATTGATGTGTAATAACTTATGAAAACACCAGTACTGCAGAAAGGAACAAGGGAATATATATATCTATTTTTTATAAGACACTTTAAATTAGAAATTTAAATATCAATTGACTACTGTAAATTTCAACAAACAACTAGCCTGCCCATAGCTTCAAAAGGGTCCGAATCCCAACCACATAAACATTCAACCAGCAGGAACAAAATGATCCCGGTCTCATACTGTCGTTATTACATCCAAATTTTCACAGATAGGTTTTAGGTAACACCACAGAACAGCAAGACAAGGATGAATTTTTTTAAAGTTAATGACAAATGTCTTCAATAGTAAGGCTTTAGCGTTCAAACACATGCACTGCAGAAAGGATGAGTTTCTATTTTCTGATGATGCCAACAGCCCATGGAGACATGGCCACGAGCCAATAAAAGCAACAGCAAGTTGATCTATTTGCCACAGAACTCAGCAGCAAGTAAATGCACATTCCAGCAGGGCTAGGCTCTTTTGTTATTAGATGATGCATGTCAAGTCAGTAACAACAGGACCGCGTATCCAGATCGCCATTCCGGGAAAAGGAAGAAAAAAGACAGCCAGATTCCCAGAGTAATAGACCCTTAACTCTTAAATCTTAAAGGCAGAACAATGCGAGATAAAACTATGCTAGCTCAAACTTTCGTGTAGAATGCTACTAAACTTCACCAGGTTTAAGTTTCAAAGAAGGCCTGTACACCTTGTCAAATAAGAGAAACAACGGAATTGGAAATGTCCAGAAAATTGGCTTTTTTATAGTAAAAGTGACCTGTTGGTTGCAGTTGCATGCTAACTTCTTAGAGTGACTACTTCTAATGACAAGACACAAGCAATTACTAACATATAGAAATATAGCAAAGTGAGAGCATATCTATGTGTTATAATACTCTCGAACACTAATAGCCTGTTTGGCCAAGCTTCTTTTGGCCAAAGTGCTTTTTGGCGAAAAGCACTTGTGAGAAATACACTTAGGCACTTTTTAAAAGCTTGGTTAAACACTAAGTGCTGCTCAAAAGTGCTTTTCAAATTAATTAGCCAAACACAAACAGATTCTCACCAAAATTACTTTTTTGAGAAGCACTTCTAAAATAAGCCGATTTTAGAAGCTTGGCCAAGCAGGCTATAAGTAACTTGTCACGCTAGAACAACTTGTGCAGTTTATAGAGGGGGGGGGAGAAGGCATTCCACATAACCTACACATGCACAAAATAAAGGGAACAGCAACAGATATATCAGAGAGGAATACCTGGTCAAGTTCAATTCCATCTAAATAAATATCATCATCAAATACAAATTCCTCAGCAGCCTCATCCTTCGGAAGCACCTGTAACTCATCCTCCTCCCATTCCTCCTCTATAAAAGGTGCCCCATACTGTTCCCCATTTTTCGGCCCTGCACCACTCTTCTGGAAGACTCTGCATACCACGAACGCATC